ACGAAGATTTGAGTCTTGCTGCCATCAGTCTTTATTGGTGTGCAATTTGTAAATTATTATGTAAATTCATATCGATGACAGTTATCAATTGAGTGTCACGCGTAAGTCCTTCAAGCTCAAGGTTACAAGTATGTACTAATGCTATTGTTGAGAGTGGACAATCTCTTTTTAAATTTTTTCCAACCAAAACAAAAATAATAATAAAATAAAAAATAAAATAAGTTGATGTTAATTCCTTTTGGGGCCACTAAAAGAAAATTAATCACCACTACAATTATAACTTTGAAATTGAAATCTATAGGAGAATCATCCATCACCTTTTTATCTTAAATGTTTTCGTTTCATCTGGTCAACGTCAAAGATAGATATGCATACGCATATTAGGTCAGGTAGTTAAGATAATTGGCACTTCTCTTACAATCAAATCCGAGTAAATGTCTTATAAAAACGTCAGAGGTAGGCATCACCATGGCCCCAACTTACTACATGTGTAGCATTGCTGCTCGTTTCTTCTTTACTCCAAATCAAAAGGGGTTGCCCTTTCATTTCATGAATATTGATCTGATGATGTACCATCAGTCTGTTAGCTAGGTTTGGTTGCCTGGTTGATGACTTGGTGTAGCCTTATTCACTTAGAGCTAACCAACTTGGATGATTTCCTTGAGCCAATCCGAGACTTGCACGTGGCACATGTAATTAAGGAATTGCATTATTTACTAAATTAAGCACCGGCTTTTATCTCTTTTTTAGGCCGCAACTTATTTATGCAATTCTTAATGGTAACGCGTCATCCATGAATGGTAATTAGTAGATAATGACAACTAACTAAGTCTTAATTAAACTTAATTACCAAACCTGCCCTGCGAGCAAGGGACCCATAGTTTGGTGAAACCGAAGTTGATCTTTCTTTTACAAGCACAGAAGCACATGCACTTTTCTATATATTTGAAACGTTAACAGAATGGGAATGAAGTCTGACATCAAAGATCACATAGTTGGAATTTTGTGCATGTGACAGACCGACTGCCCCACGTAGTCAAACACGACAGTCCATGTGCACCTTCGTAGTTGGCTGTGATGTGAACGCATCGGAGTGTCAAGATGTTTACCCTTTTTGCTTAACAGTTAACCTCTAAATTTATATCGCCTCCTCGTGTATTTGAAATTGTATGACACTGAAAATAGATTAAAGTTAATACTAATTTAAAGTGCTGATTAATTGCATTCGAGTTTTTATGATGACATGGGTTTGATTCTCGTAAGAGATAGGTACTCATTCTCTGCCGGTTTCAAATAATGTTCAGTGATGGGGTTTGATTCTCGTAAGGGATAGGTACTCATTTTTTGCCAGTTTCAAATAATGTTCAGTGCTGAATAATCGCTAGCAATTTGACTAGAAAAATGGCCTAGTAGTTTTCTTAAAAGATTAGCAAAATAAATAACTCTTATTAGGTCTAGCACGGTGGTTTCTTCGTGGTCGTAACAACCACTTTAAGCAGTGGAAATAACAAAAGATTTGTTCCAAGTCCTCGGGGGGCGTTGAACATAATTCAACAACACTGGAATTGATGGTACAAAGTCCTCCAACTGTTCATACTTTTGGAGAACTTCCAGCTATCAATGAAACCATGAAGTAAAGAGCCCAGAATCCGATCGACAGCCGAATAGAAACTCGTACGTAAATATACACATTTTAATAGCTGCATAGAGTGCAATAGATTTCCCCGGTATGGTCATCCGGGAAGTCCCTTGGACATTAATTTCTGTTAGGGTTAATCATGTACAAGATCAATTTCATACTAAATTTCACATGGTGTACGCTGAAAACTTGATCAATTTATATATTTTATTTCTGCCATGAACTAATTAAGTTTGATAAAACGGCGATATCGGACTTGTTGAAATACTGTACGTCCACTTTTCTAAACCTTTACAGAAAGAGTTACTTGTGTATTTATCCAGCCATATCATACTATAATGGCACATTGTTCATTATACAAATTAAATTGTCAACGGCTCTGAGACAAACAGATAGAAAAAAACTCTGTATTTTGGTCTTGGAATGCATATTGTACTGTCTACTGTCCGCATGTGATGACCATTTTCTCCGATATGGGTATAGAACAAACGAGTACACCCAAACACCACTCATGTACATACAAATGCATTATTACATTAGTCTTTTTCTAGTTATTATCGTGTGATTTATCAGTGTTGGGAATAAAATTTAGTATGTGCATACAGTCATAGAATTCATCTCCAACAATTGGACTAATAAGTAGTTTTTTTAATATATCTCGTTCCGAGATATTCTACCCTGAATGAGACTATAAGAGGAAGTTTATTAACAGAAGCAACTCAAATAACTTTGGGGGACAAATGCATAAGTTCTACCTTGAATTATGTCCCAGAGCACATTCACAATTGAGTCCACAAAGAACATGCCGCGTGGACACATGGTTACCCCTTACCTAACCTACAAGCACATCACACATTATATAATTACAGCGTCCCGAAATAAAACGAAGTTTTTTAATTAAGACGTCGGTGGAAGTGCAAGCTGGTGGGTTGGGTTGGCAAATCCATACACACAATCTAGATACACAGGATCGATCGCATCGATTATGTGCGCAATGAAATATATTACTTTGCACTCAACTTTGAATATTTTTTTTCTCTCGTAATTTAGATGAACTTAATGTAATGTATTACTTGTATGAATAAAAAAATAAAAATAATTTGAGAGCTAGACACCAAAATTGAATTGAATGAAAGAAAAATAAAGAAATATGAAATTGAGAAAATAAAAGTGGTTACGAACGAACTCTAATGCTATTGATAATAAAATTGAAATTGAAAGATTGTTAAGGAAGATTATTACACAATTGACTAGAGATGAGATTAGAGCAAGAATCAAACGAAAGTGTTGACCATCCCCTTTGTGCCCTTAATATTTCCCTGGATTACAAAAATGATAGTCCTGCTCTGAAACTCTTATCCTTAACTATAACATCCAGAAATTAAATTTTATATCCCTTGTAATCATCTGAATTAATTTTGTAATGCGTACTTACCATATGAATTAACAAGTCATAATTGATCACCAAAAAGGCAGGAGAGCCAGCAGCCCAAGCAAAACCGGTAACGCGTTGACCGAACTCCGACTGGCACCGTTGAAATTCTGTTCGATAGGGTACAACTGTCCAGGCGGACCGGTGATGTATATCAGCGTTGACGGCGGTGGAGGCGCGTATTGACCGCATGAGCCGCACGGTGGCAGCTTGGGAGAAGGCGGGGGTGATAACGGTGGCGGAAGCGCTGGTGGAGGAGGACACGGTGATGGTGGTGGAGGAGGACACGGTGATGGTGGTGGTGGGGATGGAACCGGCGGTGGTGGGCTTGGAGTGCACGAGCCGCACTTTTCCTCGCCGGGAGCACCTGGGGTTTCATCGGCATGGACTGGGCCTAGTACGTAGGCAATCAAAAGGAGCATGATTATTAGAACCACGGGATGTTTCGAGCCATACTGCAGTTTGATCGCCATATTGCAGGCTCGTCTGTCTGAAATCTCGATCGATTCTACGTCTTACGTTGGTTGCAATGAATTTGAGGGAGAGGAAGGAGGGATGGTTTGTTACGTTATTAGGTGCATGGGGGTTGAAACTTGAAAGAAAGTATACAGAGTAAAGAAAGTTTGCTTTGGACGTAGGCTTGTGGGGTTTGGTGGGTTAGGAAGAAAGAGGATTAATTAGATGGGCAAACTGGAGTGAGTGAGACGTATTCTTATGGGGCCTTTTTCTACTAGGTCATGGGTGGAAGGATGTTGCTTTTTTCCATAAGGGAATCGCACTGCATGTGTATGCTCCAAATTATTGGACCCCACCACCATCTACATTTCATATATATTAAGTGTATGGGCGCATATACAGGCAATAATTTTTTCAATGTAATATTATGCAGATTTTATTTTGAAAGTAGCAAAATCTTAGAAAAATCAGAGGGGGAACTGGGAAGAACTTGGAATTAATCGAGGAACAATCAAGAAAGCGGAAAAGGAGAAGAGCGGACTTAATTATCGCTGTATAATGGTGGAATTAAATTTAAAGATAACTGGTTTAATGTTAAAAACTGTATTTAAAAAAAATTATGCTCGTAGTGCAATTTTAAAAAGTATTGTGCACTTTAAATTTTATCATTTCCGATGTTGTTAACATTTTGCAAGTACTTTTTATGCTAGTAAGATACTTCTTATACTGAAGTGATTTTTCGGTGTGATCAGTATATGGAGTAGTACATTATATGTCATTATACAAATTGTGGGATATGTGTGTTAAAAAGTTAATAACTTAAAAAATAAAATTTCTCACTACTTCTATAAAAACACGTTGTGTACCACTCGTGTTCCGGTTACAATGGAAAATTTCTCCTCAATCTGCATCATTTGAGTTATCAAAAAGAAATTGCATCATTAATTAATTTGAACATCCTTGTATGTTCAGAGGATGACTCATATTTTGTGGAAATTCTTCATGTTGCGTCACATGATTGGTGCATACTGCATATACGAAATTGATGGATTGCCTGCGTAATTGTTGTTCTGCTAAGTTTTGTGTCAGCTGAAACTTATATTATACTGACACATTAGCAAGGTCAAATACAAAAGTATGATGAGACTGATAAGGGTAAATAAATTAACAAGAAATAATCCTGACCAAAAAAATTAAAAAAAAATTAACAAGAAATAATTAAGGAGGAGTACTAGCCATGCGGAAGACTTGCAAAGACTGGCTGCCGTGGCACTTGGGGCACATGTACGAGTTGATTAACCTATTGTCTGAGTGAAGACTTACAAAATTTTAGAGAGATTCCAAGTTCCGATGCCATATATTAGACACGTTTGATGACCTAGCTAGTTCCTAATCACCCCAGTTCCACCGCGAAGGGATCCGATCAAGATACAGATCCCTGTCTCTCTTGGTCTCCTGCAAACGTTTTCGTTCAATCATCACGAGTTAACCAAAATAAAAAAAAATGATAATAGTCATTGATATTAGTTGTACGTGTTAAATTTTCAAAGGAAATAAAACATCAAGTCGTAATGGGAGGAACTTAATCCTGAAGAAACTGAAGAGGGAAAAAGGAGAACAAAAAACTAGTAAAGGGGCACCGTCCCATTTTCTCTTAAAGCATCTTCGATTCCTCCCCATTTCTTGTTGGCTTTCATAAATCCAGATCAACCTCCTCAACATACAAGTTATAGCACAGATTAAAATTCAGCCCAACGATAGGATATGATCTCGGAACCTAATTACTACTTTCCATATAAACAAACTAATCACTAATTAATCCAATTTTAATTGTTAGTTCCAATGATGGAATAGTTCAGTTTTATGTATTATTTAATTGAAGAATCCGTAGGTATGTGGATTCCAAAAGTTCTACGTGCCACCTGCCGATGTCACTTCTGAAAATTTGAAATTTTGTTTAACTGGGTAAGGTTGTAGCCTTCCAAGGCCAAGTAGACAGCACACTTGTCCATGAACCTGCCGAGAAGAGTCGGATCAATCCGAGCGAAGTGCCGCGTCTTATGTAATGTCAACTTCAACAATTCAGAGTTTCAGACACCAAGGCGATAATTTTTCGAGCAATGGTTACGCTACAGTTATGAGCATAACATGACGGTAAAACAACAGCGGAAGCATGAAAAACAAGCACTTAACAAATAAACAGTCCTCTATAGGCCTAGTTTGGCAAACGAGTAGTATTTGCCATGTTCGTTTCCATGTTATACTAATTATCTTAACAGATCGTATGATGTTAAACTCGTAATCTTAGCGGGTTCTTAACAGGTAACCCAATAATCATCTGTCTCGTCGTATCATTTCATGGCGAGTTAACGTCATGTAAAAAATTACCCAAATACAACACAACCCATTCACAGATTGATCCAAAACCCGTTATTTTCTTGTCGTTTTATATCTGTTTAACGGATCGTGTAAATTGCCAGGCCTACATGGGCCAAATCTGTCATCTAATTTGACTGTTGTTATCCAAATTGTTGCGAAAAGCCCTGGGCTTTGACGGGTTTTGGTCGATTAAAGCCCCAAAATATCTTGCAAGCTTTCAGAAGATACAAGTCCAAGGAGAAAACGGAGAGAAAAAAAACCCAACAAAATTGCCCAAATTACACAACAAAGAGAAGAACTGCAATCTTTCATCTACTTGCCTTTCTATATACATGTGGTCTCTAAAGAACAAGAGAAAGAGGACACACAATCCGCTGTCAAAACACTCGAAAGAATTCTTATCATCTTTGTCCTTGCCACTGAAATGAAAAGAATCCTTCTCCATACATCCCTAAGTTTGGTACATGGAGAGATGAGCCGGCACCTGAATCTCTGCCAATCCCGGAATTAGATTCGAGACGCGTTCTTTTCGAGCATCCAGATTGTTCGAAAGCCACCGGTTGTCCACAGAAGAAAGAGGAAGGAGGAGACTCGAATCCTTTGACCATCTCCATGAACATTGCTTGCAAGTCCTCCATGGTATAACTCTTTGCCTCTCTTCTGGATTCCGCCATCAGAGACACCATTTCTTGCACAAAATCACAGAACCCCTGCATTCCGCATCAAAAAAATAGAGCAACCGAGGAAATCACACACAATCCAATACACCATCCAAACTATTTTAAAAAATAAAAATAAAATCAACAAACAAATACCCACCTCGTCCTCTTCGTCGTCATCGGGATCGTACAGGCCAACATCGTACATACTTCGTTTTCTCTGGTCGGATAACACTGCATCAAAGCGAAAACAACGAACAACAAACACGCTGTTAATACTAGCATCTTGTTTAATATTATGAAATAATAAATAATAATTAATTCAAATAAAATTCCAAAAAACCAACCCGATATTTTTAATTTTATATATATTATACCTGAATAGGCTTCTTGAATTTGCTGGAATTTCCGCTTGGCTTCACCCAACAAAGAAGGGGTTCTTGTCCACCTGTCCGGATGCCATTTCTGCACCCAAAACCGCATTGACCAACACAAACCATCAAATCTATGCTCATTTCATGAATTTTCACCAGAATTCGAGAAGAAACAATCTTTCAAAAGCAAGTAAACCAACCCAATATTCTACCATCTCAACTAGGTTGAGAATTCGAACTCGGATGCATACGTAAACAACATCCGCAAGCCAATGCGGTTACGCCAGCGGGATACAGGGTTTTAGACAAGAATAAAAAGAGATTATATTTGATAAAGTTTACTCACCATAGCTAGCTTGCGATATGCACGCCTTATCTCTTCCACGGAAGAATCCGAGCCGACACCAAGAACACTGTAATAAGAGGGAGACCCCTGAATTCGATCACCCTCCATCTTCAACAAAACCAAACTCTCGGAACTTCTTCAAACCAAATTCTCAGTCCACAAAATAATCGCATCCGAAGCTTGCTGATCTCGAAAATTCTGGTGCCCAGACGACCTTTGCAATACAACGAATTACGAGGGAAAGGCGGTGGTTGCGTGATTTATGATGCGGTCGCAGGTCGGTTATACATGTTATACATGATATATAGGAGAAGACGGAGCAAAATATCTGGTGGGCTTTTGATTTTTAACTCAGGTTCGCCATCCGGAATGTTCCCGAACACTCTGTATGATAACGTGGAAGTCTCTTCTGTCTGTGGTCGTACCCTAGATTTTTTCGGCCCTCAGATATTTTTCAGTTTCCTGATTTAGTAGGTGCTCAGTTTGGATACGGATTTATATGCCGATATTATCCAGTGTCCAGCTGACACCTGGAAGCTAATGTTTTCAATGTATGCTTTGCATACTTGGGCTTGCTGTTTGGATCCATAAGTTTTATCGCAAGGCCCATCAACCTTTCTATTTGAATACAACGGCAGAGTCGATGTTTCCATCACTCAAGTTCCACTAAACAAAACCATGGCATCGAAACCATCGTTAATCTCCCTCATCGCCGCCGTTCTGATCATCTTGGTCCAATCCCAAACCTGACCCACGCCACAGAGCCCCGCCTCATCAATTTCCGATCCCCCAACCTCTTCCCCGAAGGCCTCGCCTACGACCCATTTGCCCAACACTTTATCGTCGGCTCCTTAGGCTACCGCATTATCGTCTCTGTCTCCGAAGCTGGCGTCATCGACACTCTCATCTTCGACCCCACCGTAGTCCCTGAGAACCTCACCGTACTCGGCCTCGCCGTCGACAAACTCAACAACCGCATTAAGAGCTGATTAGGTATTGTTGTGCTTTGAAAAAAAAAAATTTCTGCTGTGCTATGAAAATAAGGTTATTTTTGCTGCTTCACGTTTTCAGTTTTTTTTTTTCACTCAAAACTGTGAAATAAATTGTTTTTAAGTGTTTACCAAACACATTTTTTAGCTCAGTTTTTTTTTTTTATAGACATTTTTTATAAAAGCACCTCAATACCAAACCAATACTTAGGGCTACTCTGGGCTGTAGCCCAGGTAGCTTTCGGTAGAAGATAAAATTTTACACGTAATTTTTATTGATTTTCGAATGTAGCCCTACCATATATTTAGTCACTAATTCGAATTCTCTCAATTTAATTATATAATACAATTTACAAAGCATCTCTTTTTTCTCACATATTTTTTCTCATCGCTTGTTGTACATGTACAAGTTTGAATAACGAAAGTTCTTGGCTTAACTTGTGAAAATTTTCTTAAGCTAGCCGATACTGTAAAAAATATATTATCAAGTTTCTTTGTTTATAAAAATTTAAATCTTTAAACTAGCCACCAAAATTTCTAGCTCCGCTATTGGAGCCGGGCTCCCAATTCCACGCCCTCGCAGCCTACAACTTATGCACCCGCCAACGCTTCTTCCTCGCTACCCTCCTATCAGACGACGATAGCTGACCAGGTCCCATCACGAACTAAATCGCGGTTGACTTCAAGGGGCAACGCCTATGTCACCAACTCGGGCGGCAACTACATCTGGAAGGTCAACACCTAAGGGGAGGCCTTTATCTTCTCTAAATCACTCATCTTCATGTCGCATAGCGTGGACTACAACTTGTCGTATACTGACTTGGGCCTAAACGGCGTTGCTTACAATAGCAAGGGGTATCTATTGGTGGTGCAATCGAACACCGACAAGATGTTCAAGGTGGACGCGGACGACAGCACGGCCAACCTGGTGCTATTGCCAAATGACTTACTTTTAGCCTACAGGATCACGGTCCAAAGTGACAGCGTTGTTATGGTGGTGTCGTACAAGACACTGTGGTTACTAATGAGCTAGGACATTTAGGGGAATGGCGATTTTTATGACAAAATTGCCCTTGACCCAGAGGGGTCTCCGACTTTAGTGGCGGTCTACGGGGAGGACAAAGTGTACGTGTTGCGATGGGCACCTGATGGAAGGTGTAAAAGGAGATGTGGAGCGGGAGGAGTTTAGTATTAAGGAGGTGAGGTATGAGTGGTATATCACGTGTTTTTATATAAGTGGTGAAAATTTTTATTTTTTAAGTTATTAACTTTTTAATACACATATCACATCATTTGTATAGTGACATATGATATACTAGGGGTGGGTTCAAAAAACTGAAAACCGAACCGAACCGAAATCGAAAAAACCGAACTGAATGAAAAAACTGAACCAAATTGAAAAAACCAAACTGAACCGATTTCTTTTGGTTCGGTTCGGTTTTAGTGATCTAGAAACCGAACCAAACCGAACCAAACCAAATTAATTAAATTAATTTTTTTATTTAATTATTTATTTTGGGTATTATTTTATAAACTCAATTTGTAAGTTAAAATGTGCTAAACCCAATGTGTTGCCAAATTTTAAGCTCAAAATATTTTTAAAAGGCCTATAAAAACTCTAAACCCTAACTTATTATTTCTCCCCCATATAAGTTTCCGGAACCAAACCTCCTCCTAAAGTACCTATATCCATCTCCATAACACTGTCTACTTCTGCCCCAGCTTTCTTTTCTAAATCTACTCTCATATAACATGTAACAGAATTTATAAACATTTATTTCGGGTAGATTACTTGCGTAATTTATGATGGAAAAGAATCCAACACACACTAAATAAATCCACCCACGCATTACTTTTACTAATCAAGTTGTCAACATGCAGTTACGAGCAAATAGCCCTGATTTTTGAACAACATCATACAATTTAACTTTTCTAAGTCATTTGTACGATTTTTGTGTTGTGAGGTTGTTAGTTTGGACTTTGGAAGACTTGATTGATGATTTTAGTTCAACTTAAAATTTTTATTTTCATTGTCTTTGATTCTAGTTAGAATGCTTATGATTGTGTTGGAGATGTTAAAATTTAAAATTTCAATATTTTTCATTTAAAAAAAAACAAAAAACAAAAAACCGAACCCGAACAGGAAAAAATCGAACCGAAAAAAAAAGAACCGAACCGAAGTTTTGGTTCGGTTTCGATTTTGGCAAAAAACCGAACCGATTTGAACCGAACCCACCCCTATGATATACCATCCCGTGTTCCTGTCATATTGAAAAATCTCTTGAAAGCAAGGAAGACGGTGTTTGGATATTCGTTTTGATTGGGTTGGGATTGGCTTATTTCTTGTTTTGAAGGTTTAAGATGAGGCACCTTGTTGGCTAATTGAACAGAAAAACCAATTAGCGTTTTTGGAGGGTTCTATTTTTTCTTTTCTTTTTAACAAACGATATTATTTTCACTAAGAGGAGCGTGGGAGAGTGGGTTAAGTCTTATACTCGGCTAGCAATAATAATGTGATTCAAATTTGCATTGAATATAAGATTACTTAGAGTAATATCACTAGACCGTAGTACTAAGCAGTTACTTTTTGGAGGCTTTATTTTCCCTCGTTTTTCTTTTTGTTTTTTTTTTTCATTTTGTAGATTACTATTTTAATACTTGTTTGCTCGTTTGATCAAATAGAATAAATTAGTTTTAGGATTAAGTACTTAAAACCCCTAAATATTTTAGTTTCGTTCTAAATTGGTCTCAACTTTTTAAACATTCCAAACAATTACCTAACCTATTGAAAATGTCACATCTGTTAAGTCCCAATTAATTCATGTTAAATAAACTATAACTTAATTTGTCTCTAGCATCAGTAGAAGGTCATGGAAGCATGAACTCCACCAAGTAATGGTCACCACCACCCCTTTTAGGCTTTATCTACTTTGTAATTTAGAGAACCACCAAACTAGATGGTTGCAACCCACGGGCATAAAAGAAGCAAGTGCTCAACATATTCCTCATGAGCATTGCAGAGAGGGCATATCAGAGTAAGTGAACATCGACGCCTATAAAGATCCTCCATTGTAGCCAACGCTCGATTCAACGCCCTTCACATAAAGCATCTTATCTTCAAGGGGGGGTCTTCAACTTCAAAATGACCTTCTAAACATGAGAAGGAATCGAGTAAGATGTGGAAGTAACCCTAGCTGCCATTGGCACCACTCGGGAATGCACCCAGTGGTATCCCGACCTTATAGTGTAGACCCCGTTCCTATTCTCCGACCACACCAGCCTGTCCCTTCACATTTGGTCACCAATGCTAGTGTTAATAATCGCCTTGCACTCTTCATCCGAAATAAAAGGCTTGAGAAAGTCAATATCCCAAGTACTCGAAGGCCCACAAATTAAAGAGCTCACACGCAAGTTCCTCGACACCAACACGTTACCTTGAGGAATACGGTGCCCGTGAGGAAAAGATGGGATCCATCTGTCATGCCAAATTCGAACACTTTCCCCATTATAATTTGCCAATGGGCACCCCAAAGTAGGCCCCACCAGCAGACTTGTCCATCCCCAAAAAGCCCTGCCCCTACATTTGGCCTCTAGAAACGAGCAGTTAGGGAAGTTTAACACACTTTTTTTAACCTCATTTGCTCCTCATGCCTTACAAAATTGTAAAGTATTAAGTTTGAAGTGCCCTTCCCTTGGAAAAAAAAAATATTTAATTTGGAGCGGAAATGGCTGAAAAAATTGTCCAAATCGTTAACTAAGGAGGAAAAATGACTATGCACCCATATAGGCCTTAGGTAGTGTAACACTCGACTGTTTCGTTGACCCCAAAAGTTGGGCGATTATTTATCTGAGAACAACAATTACAATCTCAAGGGAGAATTACTTCAACAGGAGGTAGAGGTACAAGTAGGTTCCCTTGAGGATCCAGGGGCAGTGCTGGTGGAAATGTTTGAGGATTTTTCTCCTCCAACGATGGTGGTGGTGGCGGCGGCGGCGGCGATGGGTATGCCTCTTTCCCGTCATTGGTTTTTGGCTTTGACAAACCAAAGTGTTCCCTTATCTTCTTTAACTTTTCAAAAATTTTCTTCCTGATCTCGGGATTGACAATGCGTGCTTCGGCAGGTTCTGTTGGAAGAAGAGTGAGTGATGCCAATGTCCCAACTGGCAAAGATAACATCACATCTCTTCGTGAAACTCCGAAGGTTTTTGGAGAGCCTGGTTTTTGTTTTCCCTCACTTCTCACCTGCAATATGAGGATCGAAGACGTTAAATAAAGATGCATCTCAGAGTCAGATTGAAAAGTAGAAGAGAAGTAATTGTTCCACAATCCATCGCGGCTTCAGTTTCAGTAAATGACGATGCTAGAAGGTACTAACAATGGCAGTATTAGAGCAACCAACTTAGCCTACACCTCCAGGCCTTTTGACAATTAAGAATCAATCTGAAAGACCGAACAATTAAATCCGGCTTGTTACAATTAATCCCTCTTAATTAGACCTTTGGGAAGAAAACACTGAAGCTGGAGATGACAAAACAGATCATATGTTCGGTACTTCTTACTCAGATCACCATGAATCCATCACGACAAGCTTGATCACAACAATTATTAAGCATAAATTAAGCATTTCCAATGGTTTACATTGTCAACAGAAAATAACTCGAGCAATGTGAACCACGCGGCAGAGATTACATAGTCAAAATCTTGGTAACTTTCTCCACCAAAAACATATGATTGGAGATTCTATAGATGATAAGTGTGATTATCTCTTCGTCTGAAACTCCGGATACGGAGATACAATGAAATCAAATGCCAACTTTGAAATACAAGGACCATTTCCCATGGTTTAACATCATGCTCTTAAATTGTTTCTTTATGGACAAAATTTAGCAGATCAGCAGCTGCATAGTTCTAATAACTGTAACTTATATAACCAACGACGTGAACACTGAAAACTTCCAAGTATTTGGAAAAGATACGGCTAGTTTCAAATGGCAAGGGACGATAGCTTCCCATAACAACTGCAATGCAGCTTGCACTCAATGATACAAATTGGTTATCCAACTTCGAACTAACTAACCGTTGCCCTGCAATTAAGTTGCGAATGCAGGTGCACGCTATATGCACCGGAGCTCTATAGCCTCACAGCTAACCCTCCCCATAACAAACATTAGGAGTTAAGGACAAGATATAAATCTGAACACACAACTCACAGTTCACAGTTTAAGTTTCTTCGCAAATTTTCGGAATAAGGAACATAAACAAGAGTTACTACTCATTCATTACCCTGAAATTAGACATGCCATCGCCCTTGATCTGTTTAACATTTGAGTCAAACGGACATTTGAACTGATTCACATCTCAAATAATGTATGAGCAAGAACTTCACAAACAAAAAGAAAAAAACAAATTATATAAATAAAAAACAAAACTTGGTGAATTTTTGTTGCTGAAATGAGCTCGGACAAACAAGGTCAATCGATTCAGAGTTCAAATATTGATAATTAAACACAAAGTGACAAAACGGATCAAAAGCAAAGGACTTTAAGCAGCATATTGAGTGAATTGAGACAGTACGAGTATCAACCTGAAGAGGAAGAGCTCTGTGCTTTGTGGTGGTTGTCACCGACATCGAGCGCTTCGTCGGAAACTGGGTTTCTCCGACCGACGCCAAAGGTAGCGGACCGCCCACCAGATTGCTGCAACTAGAGAATGCCATCTGTCTCTCCCGGCGAAGATCAACGGTCTCAAGACTACATATTGTTGTAGAGTTCCGCGGAACCGAAAACACAAAGTCGTTGGTCTTTGGAGGCCCAACTTAATTTTGGTTCTATCGTTGTGTAAAAGATTTCATTGATCCAGCCTGGTTGTACGTCTCGTTCTGTTTCTTTACCAGGATATATAACATTAATTGAAGAGATTTTTTTAAGAAAAACTAATGAAAAGAGTTTGAAATTTTTTAAGTTTTAACGATAAGGACAAAATAAAGGGTAAAATGAATAGTATCAGGATTGACTTTTTAGTGTAATAATGTGGTTTTCGTTAAAGTGAACAGTACCATGAGCTTTTCGTTAAAGTTCCCATTTTTTTATTGTGCTAGGAATATCCGAATATGGTTCCTTTTTTTTAGTGTTATTATACAAATGGTTGGATATTTTAAAAAATATATATATTCAATCACTTATATTCTAACACTTGAGGTATTGTGCCCTATTTCCGGCACACAGAAAAATATTAAATCACTTTTACAATTTCCACACTCACTAAATGTTACACGATAAATCAAATACAAACTGTGTGAGAAAATATGACAGCAGGTACGACTCATATTTTTGTATTTGAAAATCGGGGCATTTTGATATAGGCGCCTTGTTTTTTAATTTTTTTAGGCTAAACATACACTTATTTTGAAAATTTGATCAAACATTTTCCTAAAATTTTGGTTATTAATTTCAGTTCCTATTATCCCTATATTTATGCATTTATTATCCATCTTCTGGGCATTTCGTTTTCTCTTTTTTTTTCTTTTCCTATTATCCCTATATTTATGCATTTATTATCCATCTCTATGCATTTTTTTATTGTTTGTTATATATTTACTTTTTTTTGTGAATATAGTAGAATATTTATAAAAAAATTGTCAAATTTTATTATTTAGAAGACCCAACACATAGTAAAGATTTGTGTGATTATAAAAAAAAATGGTACATTTGGAATGTAAATGTACCAAAAGGGTTATCTGATAGAGACATTTGGTTTTGTGGTACATTTGAGATTTTTTGTTCATTTGGTCTTTTGGTACAATAGGAATCTAAACGTACCAACAGGATTACCTGACAATGGGCACATTTGGTTTCTCTGTATATTTGAAATCTAAACGTACCAAAAAGGTTACATAACAATGGGTACATTTGGTTTTATGGTACATTTGAATTTTTGGTACATTTGGTTTCTCAGTACATTTGAAATCTAAACGTACCAAAAGTCGATACTTTTGTTCTCAAATGTACCATAAGTTTTAAGTATATTTTTTATATATCTATACATGAAAAAAAAATGTATTGAAGACTTTTTATTGATACAATTTTAATAGAAAGAATATTTTTTTTAAATACAAATAATAAGGAAATGAGGAATTAGTTAATTAATTTTTTATTTTATTTTATTAAAAAATTATCATTTAATGCGCAGAAGGGGATTGAGGAAATTAAATTCCTATATTATAGGCAATTAGTCGCTAAGCTCCCTTATACCTCTATATAAATGCATTTAAATTAATGACATGGAAATTAAATAAACAGAAAATTATTGAGGTGGCAATTGATTGAAGCACCTTAATCAAATCTTTAAAAGGAATGAATGTTTAATCTAACAACTATAGAAAATATGTAAGGCATTCTAATTTTCCCTTGAAAATATAGATTCCAAAACCTTTTTGCAAGTCGTGGTCCTTGTAGTGTTGTCTTCGATCCCCACCCAGCCTGCCAGACGCACTACAAGAAAAATGGGCTAAGAACACAATTCATTTGTGCCCTTTTCATTATCATTGAGCACAAATACATATATGTGCTTTTTAAATATCAATGAGCACCAAAACCATCTCAAATGTGCTCTCTAAACAAAGGGCACATTGGTTTGTGCCGAAAAAGAAAAATAGAAAGGTGTATCTGTGCCTACAAAAATTTGAGCACGAAACTATTGTGTCTAGCTTATGTATGTCATTTTCATGTCAGAAATTAGATTTTTTTATTAATATACAAAAGCACAATAAAGGCTCTCGTGCCCTCTAATTTAATATATTTAAATAAAAAGAGAAGGGACAGAGGGCGTTCACGTGCTTGCCACATGTGTGCAAAGAAACCTAGCATGTGCTACTATATAAGTGATATGCAGCTCCATTTGGTAATTTCTCAACCCTAGCAGCCGCTCCACCTCTTCTCTCTCTCTCTGATTACCCTAGCAACACCACTTCAAACCCAAACGCCTCTACCCTAATTTCTCTCTCGAATACTCGAGAGTTCTCTGCTTATAAACACCTCAAGGCTTTCATTTCAATTAGCAAAACCATATATATAACCTCTGCCTTCAAACCTCAGAATCGTCTTCGTTTTCAAACCCAGGCCATACTCTTGCTCCAGGCCAAGGTCAAAACTGTGATTACATATCATGGTGCTCCAAAAAGGTAACCATGACCCCCCCTGTGTTTTAGTTCTCAATTTCAAAGTGTGAATCAGAAAGAGAAAAACTTTTTGATGCATGTGTTTGATTCTTTATGTAGGTTTCCGATCTGAGATGATGGTGATGAAATGATGGGACCGGATCTCATATCGATGAACAAAAGGAAGGAAAAGGTCTACAATCTCTTGAATCCACAAAGAAAAAGGTAAAACTCTCCTCCGAAATAAATAATATGCGAAAATTTTCATTTCGATTCCGATTTGACTTTTTTTTTTTACTTTATGCCCATAAATTCATATGTTTGAGTCCTACTGTGGAAGTACAAGATTGATCGAACTCTGCTTGTGGGAATGATGACTTGTTGTGTCTGCATTGGTGGATGTATGTTTTAGTGTTGTTGTATATGAAATTAGCTGGAACAAATTAAGGACTTTGTTGTTTGTAAGAGTATTTCTCAGGATTAATTAGGAGGTTGAATCGTTTTCTTGAGCCATATAGGGGTTAGCGATCATTGAAGGCAGAAAGAAGTCCCGAACCCACATATAGACCATCCTGATGAATTTATTTGTGGAGCAGCAAAGCTTTCCGGGGAAGATGCAATTGGCCAGAATTGGGCCTCGATTCAAGAGGTAAAAATGATCCTATCCTCGTGGGCTGTCCTCCAGTGCAAATGCTTTTCCAAAATAAAAAATTTCAGTTTTGGGATCGATTCTAGATTTCGAATTTTTTTAATTCCATTTTCTGTATGCATGTCACAGTTTACTCACTTGGAGACTCGCTCCTATCGTACAGAATTTTCATGTACCTCCATGTCTCTTGCTTTATCAATTTTTGTAGTTCTACATTTGTGTGTTCTGTTTGTTGATCAAATTTATGAATTAGATCGATGGTTTTAATTTTTTATACTACTCATGACTTTGGCAATGAGAGGGTCCAAATGTTGCATGTATCATCCAGATTAGTTCGTTTGTGGAGCAAACAGAAAGATAATGTCATAACAATGTTGAATTGTTTTCTTGGATGGAGAGTTAGATTGCCTTGTTTTTATGTGTTTGGTAATGCAGATACTGGAATGCGACTGGTGGAGAATACAGAGAAGATGGTAGAATCTTATCTTCCAGCAGATAAGGGCAGTTTTTGGTTTTGGCATTTAAGATATTTAAGTAGGGTTTCTCTTGCAGTTGTAGAATTTGTTTATTTTGGAAGCATGAATTAAATGTTTGGGATTAACTTACAATTCTTCCTATAAAAACCAATCAAAACCATTTTCTGAATCTAATGTTACAATGTTGTGCACTGTCATTGATAAGCAGTTTTTCATTATGATGAATTTTCAGTCTTTCTAAAAATATCAATAACTAAAATTCATGTGGCATTTAGTGTGAATTTTGTCGGATTTGTCTCATTGCATCGGATTGATTTATTGTACTGTTACCATGCCTGTCAATTTTTCCTTTTTAATCCTAACTGTTTTCGCTTTCAAGGAAAAGAGGTTTGTTCTTTGATGCCTTTGCAGGAGAGCTGTGGTTTTGACAATTTGGGTAAATAAACATCACTTATGAAGTATGTTACTTGTTTCATTATTAGCAAATGAACATAAATTTAATTTGTTATCTTCATTTAAAATTGCAGGTTTATAGATGGATGTATACTAGATATGTCATTAAAATAAGCAACTCACTTTGACCCTAAATAATATGCAAACTTACATATTTTTTTGATTCAGGTGACTATGAGCTAAAGAAATGTGTTGTCTCAGACCCAGAAGCTACTTTTACAACCTGGAGTGAGGAATATGGATCTTTGATAAGGCAGATCTGAAACTTGTAATTATTGATTTTAACTAACCCCTTTTTAGGTGTAATCTTGGAGTAATTTTGTTTTGAATTCGACTATATTTGTTATGGCTTTTGATGAGGTGCAAGGCTTGCTGGGGAAAATGCATCTGTCCAAAAATATGTGCTTTCAAGTTTTATTGTATTAGAGATAAAATATGTAACATTACATTATGTTTGTGAGAGTGGGAATGTGTTGTAGGCCTTTTCATTTTAAGAAAATTAAAAATTTTCATTTTCTCAATATTAGTTTCAAATTTTGATTTTTTTTTAATATTTAATTCATGTGGGCACAATTACAATATAAAGTGCCAACTTGTCTGGAAAAGGGTATCTGACAAGTTGTCAGAAACGAGGCACAAATAGTGGTCCATTTGTGCCTGCCTCTGTGAGCACCAAACAGTTTATTGTGCTCTTTGACAAATGGTGACGCCCATAGAGGGCACAGATACAAACTTAGTAGCTGCATTGTTGCTATTGGTCTATGGGCACATATGTTGGTGCTCTTTGGCCTCAAAGGGCACATATAATTTCTTGTGTGCAGTGGTCATATTTTTTGTAGTGACGTAACATTAAAAGCAGTTTAGTAACTTCATACGGCATATGACCTATTCACTTGTTTTTTTGTTTTTTAACCAATAATATTATCTACTCTAATAAGGTAGAAATGTGACCAAGTTTCGCAACAGAAATATAGAATAATAACTTGATCATGGGACGAGTCTGTGACATCACTTTGGTCACACAATTTAATTTTTACACACATTTTTTGGGACTCACTTTATAATGTATTGCAACGATCTAAACCGTCTATCTTTTAGGTCTTCTCTAAAATATCATATCTAAACAAAATCACCTAAAGTTGAAACCATATGACCGTTGGATCAAAAATTTAGGATTTCTATGTAGAACCTTATTCGTTCATTTCATTCACTACAAATAAATGTCTTAATAGTTTTTTATTTGTTTAAGCAATGATGATCTATGAATGAGATTCTAAAAAATAGACAATTTGGATCGTTATAGTTTATTACGGAGTGGGCTGCACAAAAATATGAATAAAAATTTGTGTAAAAAATGGTACCACAGATCCCCCCCCCCCACAAAAAAAAAAATCATTTGAATATTACTACTATAAACATGTAATTGTTTTATTGCGTTCGTTTATTTATAAACTAAACGGCTTCCTATTTGAGTGATTGTTTGGATGAATGGTACACAACCACAATGAAAATGGAAATGACAGCTCCATGTGCTTTGCCAAGAACATATTTGTTTGTATTTGTTGCAACCAGCCAATCAGCCACTAATCTCTTTCATTTGTTTGCATCTGACGAACCCAGACACAATTAAACTGATATTTGAAAAAGCAGACTCACTCATTTTCTATATTTGGGTATGGATGGGGCATGCATGCAGTACAAGTCTTGATATTGGTACCCACTTCACTTTATTCATCCCTCAAAAGAAGAATGAAAATGTCCAAATCAGAAATTTTATTTGAAAACCAGATAACAAATATTAATATGTTCAGATCATTTGAGAAACAAAATGAATATACAGCTGCGGTTAGTCCAGTGGTGAGTGTATAGGGAGGAAAATGAGTAGGAACTTCTACTCAAAATTTTTTGTATTCGAATAATAAAGCTATACACTTATGATCAGAACCATTCATAATATGAATCACATTATATAGATTTTTTTTAAAGAAAATCTCGACGGTACGAGGATAATTTTATTGATAACAAAAAAAGAAGTTACACCTAGTGGGGGGGAGAACATAAACCTAACCCCTCATAATACAAGAATACGAAGATAAAAAAAATACATAAAAATAAGATGGGACATAAACTTTACCCCTCTAGATACGAAAACAATAAAGATACAAGGAAAGGAGGCCCGAGGGACATGAAACCTAACCCCTTTAAAGACAAACTTAAAGGTGTTACATACAAAATAGATCGAGCAACATCGCATGGTTAAGAAAATAAAACAAGAAAGTGAGACAAACATGTATGTCAAGATGCACATTATTATTATTTTCTTTTCAAAATCATCTTTGCAAAAAATGAATTAAAATTAAACTCATTTAGTCAATCTATTATAGCAAATACATTACATTCGTAATGCTTTTACCAATTCTGTTAATCTGTTTTTATACAATTCGATGACTAACGACCTTAGTTTTAATTGATTTTTTTGTATAAGCGATTTTTATAGAGTAATTTATAATATTAACGGTTCCAGTTATAAACATGAACTTCTACTCATCATTTGAGTGTTCAATGGTTATGTACGTGCATATAATGATAAATTTTGATGAATACTGTAATTTTCAAAACCGTATATAAATTTGGTTAGCATAAAAGAGATTTATGAATTTCACGTTATATAATGGTTAACAAATAAAATACAAGAATTTCACATTATAATGTTGACAAAATTAAATTACTTATGTTCTACTTTTAATTACACTGATACAATTTATGATTAAAAATCACCACAATATTTATCGTGTTCTGCAGATGATATAAGTTGCAGGTTGGGAGACAGTGTCAATGTGGATATAGTAGTGGACCGTTTGACCCTTCGCTCTAAAATATTGGCATTGGTATCAAATCGAGCCTCTACGTAGTAACTGATCATGATCCTCCATCGTCCCTTCACTGTCAGTTGAGCCTCCATCATCACAAAGCAAATGTTGGAATTTGTCAAGAAATATCATATTCATTTGAAGAATGAAGGGAAAAGTTGATTAGATTAGACTAGCTAAGAAAGACTAAGTGAATTACCTGGACACGATCACCTTTTTTATGAAAGTTGATCTGCTTCCTAATTAATAAACTTCATATGAAAACATATAGGTCAAGAATCAAGATGTTGAATTCCATGCAAACCCTTGTCAAATGAACAGTCTCTTGCTTGTACTTCAGGTTCGCTGTCTGTTCGACCTATCAACATTCCATGGTAGCAGGCTAGCTAGCTAGTCACTACTCGGTCCCTCCTAGCCACATTATTTTTCTAATTAAGGATGTACTTATACGGCTCATGCTAATTATTCTGCAGTTCGAAAGCAAGAAAATGCTTTTGTGGAAGCAACTTAATCTAAATTGGTAACTAGATTGGTTTCACATCCAATTAATTAGTACAGTGAGTTCAGGTATTTGATATTAAAGATGATTATATGTCTTGGTAAAAACAAAATGAGCATAAGGCTGCCTACTTTTTGGACTGGATTTGGGTGTGTAACCTACATATATACACCTGAAAAATCGATACCGGGCTGCAACTGCAAAACCTAGGGTAAAAGTCCAACGACTATCAAAGTTATGTTAGATTACCGCAAAAGGGGTACTTAGAAACTTATAGCCAGCCTATTACTATTTTTTCAATTGCTTTCTTCTTCATATTTCGAAAGGAAAAGAAGGAGCCAAAAGATATACCTAAACCACTTTCCAAATGAATTATCCAATAAATGCATAAACAGGATTAAGATTGGGAGTTTTAATTTACTTTCTTCTTTCTAGGTTAATGACTCTTTTATGCATTAAAGTAACTCTATAATTTAGGTTACGAGGTCAAATACCAAGATGCTACACAATATATAGTTATCTATAATACGAAGCTGCCTTGTTTAATTTGTTAGATGGTCAATCAAGTTGATTAATCTATATAAAAAAACATGATTACTTTCTAATTAGGGTTTTCAGGGGTACTATATACCTAGCCTTTACCGTAGTTTCAGGTCGAACAGACAACGAAACTAAGATTAATTTGCAAAGGACTGCTCACTTGACAAGCATAGCATGGAATCCACTCACCCGTATCATCAAAACATGTCAAATACATCCCTCGCCATCTTCGACCATGGTTGTTCTATACCTCTTTATTTCCTGCAAAAAAAAAACACACACACACACAGAGCAAACATAGTGATCTGGATTAAGTACATAAATCGAACTAAATAATAAGCAAAACTACGTATTCGGAAGAACGTATATACGTACGCCAAAGCTGAAGAAGAGAGGAAGACAAGAACCTGATCTTTTAAGGAAGAGACCTAACTAGGAGGTGTAATATAGTTGCTGGGTTGAGCTTCATTTTATAGAGATAAGAAGGAACCTTGCTATCCTTTTTCAAGCTATTACAATTGTTAATTATTGTGTGAGGGTGCGAATTCTATACGGATCTTCATATCAGCTAAATCCTTACACGTGACAGATCATTGACTAACCGGTATTTAGTTGTTTATGTTTCCATCTCATAAAAAAATTAATTATAGATAAGATCGATTGATGGAGGATCAATCGACGACGTAAATTGTAGCTGCTATTTTAGATTAGGATTTAGAACCAGATTATACTAATCCGACATTCTTGTAAAAATGTTAACGTGGTGGACCAGGTTGATGTACCTACTTTATGGCAAGCTGACTTTAATTAATTCATTAGCTAGCTTCACTCGAATTAGTAATTGTACATATGCTATGTATGTGCTTATTAAAATTTTACAAAATTTACAAAGAAAGAAAATATAAAATAGCGGCTAAAGCTTTCTAGTGACGACCTTCAAAAGAGTATTTGTTGCTGAAAGGTTGTTCATATCTTTAGCGACTGTTTTTAGATAACTATTTCATCACTAAAAATTCATTTTATTCTGTAGAAAAACGTAGAAGAGGAAATGGAAGCAACTAATATGGTTGCTAGGCTCTGAGGCATAATCAAATTATTTTGTGTATAATTTACTATATTGCCCGTGATTTTTATTTAAGTTACTTTTCTTTAGTTTTGTTGACAAGGTTCACTTGGTATTTTCATCTTCTTTTGATTGACAAAAAAGATTTTGTTAATTGGTAATTTAGATTACGAACAAGGAGCTCGAACTCGTGTGGAAGGAAAATCACACCAGTACTTTAACTAATATGACTAAAATGAAGTCTGCATGATATAAACCTAATATTATTAGAAATCCATTTTTGTTTAATTGTAGGATGCATGCAGGATTAAAAAAGCTTAATTTTGCCATGTGGATTCATCAATATAAAAATATTTGCGGTTGTGGAAGGGTACTATAGGGGCCTAGGGCATTATTACAAAGGAAAACTAATGAAAATAGTATGAAAACTTTGAGTTTTAACGATAATGACAAAATAAATGATAAAATGAATAGTACCATAATTGATTTTTTAGTGTAAAAATGTGGTTTTTCGTTAAAGTAAACAATACTGGAAGCTTTTTATTAAAGTTCCTTTATTACAAAGGCCGAGCAACGTGGTTTATTGTTAATTCATATACTTAATGATGATCCTGCGTTCTCCACTGTCCATGCATGATGTCACATTATATATATATATGTGGGACTGCATTATACATGTGCTTAATTTGAGCTAAATAAATAAGTACAGGTACTTATTTACTAAATTTGTAGAGTACTCTCACTCTGCAAATAATCAAAGCGACAAATAGCTTAACAAAGAAAAACTTCAGCCTATGTATAATTAGGGCTTGGGAGATCATAGTTCCTACTATATATGTTGCTAGAAATCGAACAAAAAAATTATAACAAACTGTAGCACATGCATCCTCTGTAAACATCTCGATCAATGATAGGAAACTGGAGATGGTTTCACTTGTGTTAGTTTGATCATGAGCGTTTTAATAAGTTGCTATTAGAGTTAATTAACTAGATAGGCAACATATATAATTTGCTCATCAGAGATCTTGCCAGGCTTCAAAAGTTTATTTTTCACCGACCCTTCTTTACCTTTGGTAGAAAACCTCAAGTTCAAATTTAGGCTTCAAAGAGATTTCAAGATAGATATTTTTCCAACATATTATATATGTAGCAAAGGAAGAGAAGTGGGTCATCAGATAGCTTGGCCTTGCGGTGATCTAGGTATGAAAACTTCCTTTTCGCACATCTTACGTTGTAGCTTTTTCCTGCACAACATTATTATACATACCAGTAAGGACAATACTTGCGTCCTTCATTTGCAATTGATGCATATACAAATATCATACATGAGACAAGTAGGCAGAGCAGCTCCGCACATGTGAGACCCTATATGTCTACTTCGTCGCATTTGATCGATGTAAGTGAAGTCAGTTCTACACACCACTTTTCTTTTCAGGTCACGCGCACACGTCTTTTTTTAACTGTTGAATTGTACAAAGTAAAAGAGAAAATGACTCAGAACGCATGTGATCTAATATCTTAGTGGATATGTGTTAGGTTTATACCAATGTGTTTTGGATTTGAAACTTCTCATTCTTTAAATTATTATAATGGTTTCAAACTCTCCTCTCTCCTAATAATAGGAAAAAAAATTAAAGGAAAGAATCAGAACTAAGAAGGGGTGTGCATAAATCAATCTCACATCATTGTTACTTACCATATTGGCTTATGCCAGCTAAGACCAGATTGCTTGTAATTCATGTCATCATCCACGGGCTTTGCTTGGGTAATTGAAAACAAATTAAATCAGCTATTACATATATTTAGCTATATACTGAATTGTACAATTAGTTAAAAGTAGGGCTGAGAAGAACATACATGCTCCAACTTTGTAATCAGTTATAAGTATTTGTGAATAAAAACTAGGAATTGTTGTTAACACTCCAATATAGTCAGTTTATATAATTCAGTAGTAGCAATCAGTTCCCAATTTTTTTTAAAGAAAGTCAATTTTTAGTTATTTTTATAAGTAAAGGATAGTTTATTCAACCCAAAAAAAAAACACAGAACAATATACTTGAAAGAGAAAGAGAGATCAGACCCGGAATTTAAGCAGGATGCCTGGCATTTGCATATGGGTGTGTTTGTAATGTGGACCATTGGAAACTGACATATCAATATACAACTTAGAGAGAGAGAGAGAGAGAGCGATCGATGGAGGTGTCACATTCCATGCAAAACCTTGTCAAGCGAACAGTCCCTTGCATACACCTCATATTCATTGTCAGATCGACCTTGCATTTGCATACCCTATCAAATATACTTACGTGGTTTTCCTGGCTCCATTTACTCACTACTCATATAAATAAGTCTCTCTAATTTGATCGATCACATGATCGTGTTGGGGCGAAATCAATGAACAAAGCGAGAGTCGCTTAACACTTTATAAGCATATATAATGTTTTTTAATTTTCTGATGTAGAATTCACACTTTTAACAATCAATACTAGCTGGTGAGACCAACGTAGTTAACAGTTCCTAAATTTTCGTTTATATATACCTGCTATGTTAAACAGGCTGCAATGCATTGTATACGTGTGTGTGTGTGTGTCTATATATATATATATAGATGATGAGAACACAAAGCCCATAAGCTACACACATAGAGAGAATGACATATGTCCAACTACGCACACAAGCCTTGTTATTACCGATATGAAATAACATATTATCTTTTGAGTGTATATATATATATATATATATATATATATATATATATATATATATATATATATAAGCTTCGTACATCCAACTTGCCATGAATAAGGGAAACAAAATCTTTGCATAACTTGTATGTGGTAGTGAAGTGTCGACATATCACTTCTAACATAAAGAATATGTATAAGTACAATATTGTCAAATTATTAGGTGAAAAAAAAAAAAGTGAATGCTAACTATCTAGGTTCACTAAATTTACTCAAGATTAGCTCAATTTAAAAACCCTAATTCTAATTCTAACTAGTCATTATCATTGTCAAATAATTATCATTAATTTATATTGTTTGGATTAATGGATGGCGTACCCATGAAAACGGGACAACATATACTTTGGTCATGAACGGTTATGGATTTGGATCCTCTCCTGAGCTCAAGGAGAGGATCCTCCTGACCAAGAGTGTCAGTCGTTGAATTTTTATTCAACGATTTAAAAAGATCTTCTCCAACAACCCACACTTCTTGGTCAGGAGGATCTTCTCCTTGGACTCAGGAGATGATCCAAATCCAACGGTCATGATCCTTTATACTGCTCACAATAGAATATCAACACGTGTTACCAACACCTAACTCAAACTTATTACCAGAAATTTACTATAGTATCCAAACATCCTTCTTCTCCCTCACTGAGATATTGCCCAGCCTTCCATCTCTACGAACCAGCAAGCATTTCCAGGTCTCCCATCCCATCTCCTCCCCTAACCTCTCTCCATCGACCCTACTTTTCAGAGGAACTCATGGAAGCACCATCGGAGTACTTCGCGGGAATAGCCACCACCTCCCCCCCCCCCCCCCCGGGCGGTGGCTACCATGGCGAAGATGACGGATAGAGGGCGGGGTCGATGGAGAGTTATTAGAGGACGAATTGGGGATGGGATCGCCGGAGGGGAGAGCTTGGAGTAGGAGACGGGGCGGGGTCGACAGGGAGAGGCTGGGGTCGAGGGAGGGCAGACGTTGCAGGAGGTGTGAGGGTACACTGCATTTACAGATTGATATAAAATATAACATATACATATACATATATATATATATATATGTATGTATGTACGCACACATTATTTTAACCACGTCAAGTTCTTGCAGATACAACTATTTCATATCTTTTCAGCAAATTATTATCAAGTTGAGAACAATATTTTTGTGAGATCAAATAATTAACTTTAAAAACCTCGGCAGTACAAGGAATTTTAATGATCTACTCATCTTTATTATCAAACCTGTTAATGGTTTTGAGGCCTCCTCACTTCATCTTAGATGGAAATTAAAACTACTGGTTTGAGATTAAGGAACCAATCCATTTCAACTCAATCAGGAATTGCTATAATAAATATACAATAAGCCATTTTCTGGCTAGCTATAGAGAGGGAATCAATCAAGTTATTTCTCCTGTAGTATGGTAAATTACTTAAACTGTATGGAGGAGGAGAGCTAGAGTTTCAGGGTAGTATTACATCTTGAGCTATAATATTTTCCAACATCCTTCACCTTATTTTCACCTTGCCGTTGACCCTCAATCATGGAAAAGCATATAAACCAAAACTAATTGACAATAGATGGAGAGGCCGGAGATCTTTTAAGCACATAATGCAGACTTTCATCCTTAGTGTACTCTGAATGCATCATTATAGCCATCTATATGTGCTAGACTCTTAACCTTGCTTTCAACCTTAATTAGCGGTCCATATTTCTGTTGTTTTAAAATATCATACCCTCCTTATGTCATAAGAAAGACAATATAAGCCACTAATTGAATTATTGTTTAAAATGAAGTAAACACAAACATATATATATTCGTACTGAAACTAACATATATATTCGTATTGAAACTAACTTATACACTAACATAATTTAAATGGAGCAATGATTGCGGAATTTTAATTAATTAAATTGAAGTTTTGGTTCCTTAACTAAAAACTCGTGAGTATTATATATCCCTAAATTATTTATTACACAGTGTAGCAAAGGTTTTTTGGGTAACTTCAATGTTTCTAATATTGACCATTGCTCTCTAGTGTGATAAGGTCAATGACCAATATTCATAAACTTTTACTTCATGAATCAAAACTCTAATTAAACTAAAGTTCAGAACGTTGGAGGCTGAAATTAAATGAATATTCTATCACTCTATATATACATATATACGTACCCAACTAAACTATTTATAGCGTTTTTGAATTCTCAGTGCACCTGAAAATCACATGCAAAGCTGTACATCTAGTTTAGCGCTTACACCTACCAAACAACACATAAAACACACAAACGCACACATGTAAGTGCATATTCATGCAAATCAAAGTATTAATTAGTCAGTTCGTCGCACAAATTTCATGGAGGTGGGCACATCTTCCAGGTGAGTTTATATTAATTAATCAATCAATTAAGTTGATCGACACATAAAACAAATCGGGTTATTCATGAAAGAAGAAAATAAAGTGGTCCTGTTCGTAAAGGAAGCAGAATAATATTCTCTAATCCTATACAGATGCAAGACAATTCGAGCAAGGTTTTTTTTTATATATCAAGGTCGAACAGACAACGAAACAAAGGGCAATCCAAGAAAGGACTGCTCGCATGACAAGCATAGCATGGAATCTACTCACCCATGTATAAAGTTAGCATAGAGTCTTTTCCTTCAGATTCTATAAGTTGGTTAATTTATATCCATCTGGAAAGCAACAAATTGTTGTATTCAGAATACATATAACTTATGAATTACCAAAATTAAGTAAAACACATATAGCATAACGCAGAAGATGATAAAAAGAAGAGGAGCAAGTACCTCTGATCTGGGCAGAGAGCATATGTGTAGCCCAGCCTGGTTTTGTCATAAGCATCAGGGGCTCAATTTATAGAGACCTGATATATATATTAATTGATCATTATATAAAATAAAATTTAAATTTAAAATATCTGAGTGAGGAGGGGTTGAAGCGTGTGAAAGTGGGAACATATGTGATTGAGCTACATTTGACACGTGAGAGAGGGGGTATGACTTTGACTCACGGGTGACACATGGGGAGATTAGGGAATTGAATGGTGCATGTCATGTGCCTCTCATCCTTAACAACCTCCCCTCTAGCTCCTCTCTCGATAGAGATATTTTTCTGTGTACCGAGAACATTGAAACATAATGTTATAGTTCTACTTTCTTTGAAGGTAAAATATTTCATTAATCAAATAAAGCAAAAAACATTATCGATCAAGATCATAGTATTAATATAATTGAAGACGTAATAGAAAAACAATACAAAACCTACTAAATAACAATACAACCACTATTTTTCAAAATATGTAGAAGTGAGAGATATATACAACTATCCCATGTACTCATTTTATAACACAAAAAATATGATGCACACAAATTGTTTCTCTTTCTTTTCATTTTATCTTAATTTTTCCTTCTTTAAGTTAATCTTACTTGTTTTTGGCCTACTGTTATACCTTCTATCGATTGGTGTTGATTGGCCAGAAGCACTGGTCAGCACCTTCCTTAAGGTACAAGCTGGAGAAGCTAGTGGAATTACGTAATCATTACCCAACACAGAGAGAAAGAGAGAGAGAGAGAGAGAGAGAGAGAGAGAGAGAGAGAGAGAGAGAGAGAGAGAGAGAGCATTAGTAAAGAAAGAAAACAAGACGACAATGAGGGAGGTTAGCTGTGCTCGTGTGATTCTGAAATGTTGATAGAATCATAGGGTCGAATACTTGATGTTCTTGTCCAACCGCTCACATGATTTTATTTCTTATCTACCAATTACCAAAACCCTTCCGTGCTCTCTCTCTCTCTCTCTCTCTCTCTCTCTCTCTCTCTCTCTCTCTCTCTCTCTCTCTCTCTATATTTATCTTCTCTGATTTTTTTTTTTTTAATTCAGATAGGTGGGTTTTCCGTTTTGTGCTACCTCGCCAATTGCCACATTATGTCATTAGTCACCAACGCATACCGATCATATTGGCCAGTACCTCTTCAATATCTTATGTCGATATATAGTTATGCTCAGATACTTTTCCACCGTTAGCGGCCGGCACAGTGGGGACTATCGAGTAGGAGAAGGACTGAACAGTTTCACAAAATTTATCAAACCAACTCTGAAGTCCTAGGTTAAAACTCAACCGCGTCACCTCCTTAATTAAACAATCGAAAAAACTGCAGTGCATCGTCTTCACATGCAATATTGCATGCGTGCAAGTTGCTGGTATACACTGTACATATATACATACGATTTACAAACTCTGGTTCTTATATCATAGACACAAAAAATAAAAAGAGGATTATAAATTGTCAAGACGACTGCATAATCAAAGAACTGCATTGATTTAGTTTTATTGCGATACAAGAAGTGTATTTATAAACGGCTAATTAAATGTCTGAAACAAATTAGGAAATCAATAAACATGGAAGCAGTCTATTAAACTCTAAAAGATTGTAAGAAAGCAATCTTAATCCTCATTTTACCAGAAAATCCTAATACATAAAACCAAAAGTATCCTAACATAAAAATAAACGAAATTCTTAACTTGCAAACTTTTTCAAGACATACAAAGTTATCGATTCATTTTTCATGCGGCATACTGGGGGAAATTATATAAATATCAACAAAAGATTTAGTTGAGAATGATTGAAATTATAACAAATAATATGAAGCAAAATGGATCATATCACTCAACTAGGTAATTTAACGTATGAGTAATAATGCTAGGTATAGATTTAACTTTTTATACAAAATTTGCAAATAATATGATGTGTCGTCAATAGGAAATAAACACATGAATTATACTTAAGTAATAATCAAATCATAAAAAATCATATCATATGGTTTACAAATTTAGTCTAAATTAAGGTCTTCCTATTATTACCCTTTAACGTATATATAGAATAAATGAAGCAAAATGAGTGTTAATTGTCGTTATTGCTTATTAAGGATAATTAAGCTAATCATGACAACGTATATAGAAGAAGAAAAAAGGGAAACTATTAATGCAGCCTAGCTACCAGCTGCTTTATAAGGAGAGATTTTTCAGTATAACTAGTATACGAGATGATATACAATGTGTCACTATACAAATGGTGAGATATGTGTGCTAAAAAGTTAATAACTTAAAAAATAAAATTTCTCACCACTCTTATTAAAACACGTGGTGTACCATTTGTATTCCCGTTGCAACTAAAAATTTCTCCTTTTATAAGGACTGAGAAGTCAATCGCAGCAGGAAATTAAGCTAAAGAATGTGCGGAGGACGACATGAACATGTGTAATCTTTCCTGAGAGGCTGAGATCAAAAGGAGAAAACTAACGGTAGAGGTAAACTTCAACCAACATAATTAACCAATTGTCGATAACCACTATCTAGCTAGCTAGCATGTCCAAGGGTAGTTTTAAATTTTTAATGGAGCCTACATTAGTTAATTATTATCTATTTAAGCTAACATTGGAGCCTATGTTATTTAGTTAATATAGTAAGCATATATTTAGGGATGATGATTTTGATTATCAATACATCATCTATATATATATATATATATATATATATATATATATATATATCGGATCCTTTAACAAGAGGGATCCCCATTTAAAAAAAGAATGGGACATCCTCTTGACCATTAGATTGGCTTTAATGAAATCGTGTGGTTGAGATTAAATCACAGACCACACAATCTCAACCACACAATTTTCATTAAAGCCAATCTAACGGTCAAGAGGGTGTCCCTATTTTTTTTTTTTAAATGGAGATCCCTCTTGTTAAAGGATCTGATATATATATATATATATATATATATGTATTACTTAGGGTCCCACGGTTAATTTTATTCAAGGGATACATAAACATGTGTTTGATGGAGATAATTAGTTTGGACATGACTATGCACTATATTAAAGACATTTTGAAGGGAAAAATGAATGACAACTTTCCTATTTTATTCAAGTTGAAGATTACTCATAAAGAAAAGTTGTCCCTTTTGAACCTACCATTTTCATGGAGACTAGTAGAGATATCTTTTCTTCATAGGTAACCTTCACCTTGGACAAAATAGGAATTTCCCATCTATTTCTTCCTTCAAAATGTCTTCAACGTAGTGAATAGTTCTATCCAAATTAGACCTTCCTTTCAAACGAGGCCTAAGGGGTTGGTGTAGTGGAAAGTAAGCATAAGTTTGGAACCTTTAATCCAAGTTCGAATTCTCACGTATGCATTTCTTGTGTCCATGGACATCGCTTTGGCGTACCATTTTACTTAGCAACAAAAATATGCTACCACCGATCATATAATACTGAGACTACATGAGATGGAAATTAATTTGTCATAAATGTGTGGTACGATAAAGAATAATAATATCAATTAAATTAGTCAATTTAAGCTCAAAGTTGAAAAGTTCAACTAATACCTCAAAGTTGAAAAGTTCAACTAATACGTTCAGAAGTTCAACAATAACAACATTCACCGGTATAAGGCTATATCCAAGATCTTGAGTTCGATTCATGCCTTGCCACAATCATATCACCAAATTGTACCACATTATTATATCACATAATGTGGCAACAACCATTATCCAATTAAATAAATTTATTAATTAGCGCAATATATCACATGATGTGGCAACAACCATTATCCAATTAAATAAATTTATTAATTAGCGCAGTATGTACACATCACTTACATATCACTTATCACATCATATCGTATACTAATATGGTACAAATACGTGGTCTCCTTAAATATGTCATAGCAAAGCACCACCCCCGTCCCCATAATATAAAAAAGTTTAAAGATTTAATGGATTTGAAACTAAAATTCCAACAACCACCCACTGGGACCCAAACATCAAGGTTAGAGGTTGGAAACTGCATATCCTGCTCCTTCCTGCTTCTGCGCGTCAAAAGTATTATTGTTCATATTACTAGTTAATTAGGGTTTATCACGTCCACAACGTCGTGTAATTTGTTTGGTGCGTCTTGAAGCTTGAAACTGTACCAACCCCCAAATGAACACAACCCCACCAACTACCACATATTGTCCTCAACCAACTACTTTTAACTTGGTGTGTGTGTGTGTGTTTGTTGGGTCTCTGTACATACATTTCCAGAAAGGTTTTGCGTCCCATTCCCAGCAATGGTAATTTTACTGCTTCAGATCAGATCCGTACGTTTGTATCAACTTCTGAAACTCATATTTACATTTTTCCTCACTCCACAACCTAATTATCTTGCAAATCACGTAAAGGAATAGTCAGCGAACAGTTGAAATCACCTTACAAATATATTGGATTCTGTTGTTACTGAAAGATGCGATAAAGTATTGGTAAGACTTGAAGGAAGGTTTGATTTCAAAATTAGTTGATAATATGTTGAATTTCTTACAAGTACATACAATGTCTATTCTTTCTTCGAAATGAGCTTCATACTCTCTACAAGATTTCTCACAGGTTCATATCTCACAAGAAAGACTTTCATAGTACAAATCTATCATCATGATCATGACGTTCTGTGTCAATAATATAAATATATTTGTTAATATTTGTTCATATGACTTTATATTAATGACATGAGATATCACAATTACGATGTATATACACATACCATGTAAGTTACTTTCTTCACCCACAACTTAAAAAATGGAAACTCTACTTGAGTTCCACTCCGTTGCTTACTTAGGAATGAGCTGCCGTATGGGTAGCCCTAGTGATTTCTCAAAGATTAAAGCCATAGCAAACATAACAAGTTAACAACTGAGCTGCGATTTTATTTTGGGTAATTTTAGGGTGACTATTTTTGAAATAAAATTTTAAATTAAATGATGTATCACCAATATGAAGTAAGCA